TTTGCCATTACAATGTTTTTGTGTCTCTGTGGTGTGTGTTCGTGTCTACGTGCTGTGTGTGTGTGTTGTGTGTGTGTACTGGTATTCCCTGCATTATGGGGTCCAAATGTCCCCACAGGTATAGTAATAACAGTAAACTTTCATCTTGTGGGGACATTTATTTGGTTCCCATGAGGAAAACAGCTTATACTCTAAGTCATACAGAATGAAGTGTTTTGAAAACCTAAAATAACTGTAGTTTTGTGTTTTGAAAATCTAAAACAACTGTAGTTTTGTGTGAGGGGTAGGTTTAGGTGTAGTGTTAGGGTAAGGATATAGAAAATACAATTTGTACAGCAGAAAAACCATTACGCCTATGGCATGAACCCATAACAATAGGAGTGTGTGAGTGTGTGTGTGTGTGATGCGTGTGTGAGAGAGAGAGCAAAATAATATGTTCTCTAAAACTATAAACTTTCAATAGTAAAATACAATGATAAACCTATTTTGTAGCCTAATAAATGGACAGCATAACAAAGTAGATCTTATAATAATAGGTATAAGAACAACTTACTTTAATGTGTAATAGGCCTTATATCCTATACATTTTATATACAGAACAATCTATCTGTTGTAGTGATTGTAAATTGTGACAATATGCTTCTTGTATTAGGCAACATGTTGAAATATACTGTTGTTTAGTGGTGTGATGTCCACCCTGTTATGTCCTGTCCACCTTGTTTCCCCCTCTGTCCACCCTGTTACCTCAGTGATTTTTTGGATATTGCTAAAATAAGTTCAACAAATGTTATGCATATCTTTGTGGTTACTTGTAGGGAATAAAATGGTGAAATGAAATAAGTTAAAATGGTTCCAAAATTCCATTTAAATTTATTTTTATTCTAAAAGAAACGTGTTGAAATTACGCTGAGTCTCAAAAATACAACACCTTTTTTCAAGATAATGCCCGATTATGAACACTTTGTTAAAATACATTTGCAGAGAAAAGAGAGGGACATTTTAGCTCTTAGAAAATGTAAATATTCAATATATAGCGTGCATATATTTCATGAAAAAAACTTCTATTATGAGCAGGCTTGCCTAGCATCTACATTTGAAACAACAAACTTGAGCGCGCAAAGAGATGCGACGTGGCTGCTCTCCAATCCAATACTGATACACATGCGTTTTCTTTCTCAGATGTTTACATTTAGTTAAGACAAAACCTACTGTGCTTACGAGGATAATCGCAAGGACGGCCATTTTGACATCATTTTTTGTGTGTATTTGGGTAAGCGCAACAAGCTGCGAAAAATAACTCAATTTGGTACTCGTGAGGCGGCGCAATGTGCGTGCTATGGATGTGACTGAGCGCATAGGAACCCCCCTTTGGAGCACGCGAGTATCGAATGGCTTAAACTTAAAAAGATGTGCAAATGATACAGTTTTGTGACGATGCAACAATGACTCGATTAGGCAAGTGACAATTCTGTCGACTGTCCCGAAACCCGAGCAAAAGTCTTGTATCGCAGTAGTGCAGACGAGATGCGCTGTTGTGAAGCCGCTTTGAGAGTGAGAGAAGAAGCGGTACAGCTGAATCACTCACGCTGTTTTCAAATGACTGATTTAATCTGATAGTATGTGTGGATTTATTTACTCATCTAACCTACATGCTCTATCGAATATGTTTGCAGGAATTTCCCTCATTATAAACTCGAAAGCAGATTAAACATAATTCTATTATACAGAGATGTAAGGGAAAAAATCCATGACTTTTCCAAAACTTTTCCAGGCCTGGAAATGGCTGTTTTAAAATTTCATGACTCTTCAATTTTTTTCATGACCGTAAGAAGATGCACGCTGTTAATCACCTAAGCTGGTCCTCCATTGCGCGAATGCTCCGTTACCTCTCCCTCCTCTAATCATGCCGGATCCGTCACCCCACTTTGTTCCGGGACCTCGTAATTTACAAATGAAGCCCTGATAATATACTGATACTGATAGGTATAAGAACAACTTACTTTAATGTGATAATAGGCCTTATATCCTATACATGTTATATACAGAACCATTTATCTGTTGTAGGGATTGTAAATTGTGACAATATGCTTCTTGTATTAGGCAACATGTTGAAATATACTGTTGTTTAGTGGTGTGATGTCCACCCTGTTATGTCCTTTCCACCCTGTTTCCCCCTCTGTTCACCCTGTTACATTAGTGTTTTTTTTTTTTTATATTACTAAAATAAGTTCAACAAATGCTATGCATATATTTGTGGTTACTTGTAGGGAATGAAATGGTAAAATTAAATAAGTTAAAATGGTTGCAATATTTCATTTAAATTCCTTTTTATTCTAAAAGAAATGTGTTGAAATTACGCTGTCTCAAAAATACAACAACTGTTTTCAAGATAATGCCTGATTATGAACACTTTGTTAAAATACATTTGCAGAGTAAAGAGAGGGACATTTTAGCTCTTAGAAAATTACAATAACTGTGCATCCAAAACACTTGTTAATTGAGATGAGAATGTCCTGTAACAGGGTGGACATTTGGTCCTTGCATGTCTGAGGAAGTTTGTGAAAAATTATTAAAGAATAACATCCTGAGCTGGACCAACATATTTTTCTTATAGTGTAACAAGCCCTTCTTCAGATAAAATGATTACGTCATGGAAATTAAAAATTTTTTTTATGGAAAGTTGCCAAGCTGAAATGGCACCGAATAGTAAGAATGACCCACAAGGCAATACGCCGCGATGACATCATGAATATGCTAATTAGGGTATGACGTCATCTAGCGACAATTAGCGACTTTTCAAACTGGCTTTAGCTACTTTCTATTGAAAGAAGTTGGCAACACTGCCTGTGTAGCCTGCACTGCTAACGGAGGCAGCCTCACGCTATCTGCGTCACAGCATGACCTCCTATCTAAATTAAAAGAACACATTTAAAACTGCAGTGCTGCAGGAAAGTGGAGTAGATTGTATGTTTTTACATTTTAGATGTATTATAATTTGTTACGTGTTGAATTTAAGTTTATTAATTTTTTTAAAGATGCTGCGCAGCGTGACGTCATATCACAACCGTTGCATAATGCAAGGCAATTTCGCATGCTCAAAGTCTAGTGTGACCGCGGCTTTAGCTGTAGGCCGTGGGAAAGGGGAGTGGTTTGTGACATTTGATGGGAAAGGCTGAAATGCCTGAGTAGCCAACAAACCTGCCTTTTTGCGACTTTTTCTAAAAATTAATTTGTAACATGGCCTGTGCTGCTAGCGCGTCTGCTACAAGAGCTGGAAGCCCGGCTGCCTACGATACTGTGGCTGGAAGAGCTGCGGTGAAAGGTTGAGCCGATGCGGGAAGCGAGTGAGGCTTTGCTGCGGTGAGATCTGGGGTGCGGCCCAGGCTCGTTGAAGGCCTGCCACTGTGACCCAGCACTTAAGGAGAGCCGGTGGTGTGCCCAGTTCTGACAACTGCCAGATTATTACCCCCCTAGTATTGGTAGGTTTAGGGTTAGGTGTGGGGGAGGGGTTAGGATTAGGGGTGGGGTTTGGATTAGGCAATCAGATAGCGATTTCTACAAGAGGGGTAATAATTTGGCAGGGGGTCGAAAATGGGCACAACACCGGATCTTGTGCGTGGCGGTGGTGATGTCAAGCGAGGCAAGTTCAGGACCTTGAGAGCTTTGCTCGAAATATTGGCCGCCCTGCTGGAGTGGATTTAGGAGTGAAGTTGGCTGATTGCAGGGAGACTAATAACTTAGATCGTACAGATCCGCTTTGTTTACCATCCGTGAGGACAGCACCTCGGAATTAATCGAAAGGGAGTAAAATATGTGCGTGGCAGGGGTCTGCCACCACTATGTGCACCTGCCACTCGACCTGCCACTGCCAAATATGCCTGCCACGTTACCTGTAACCACTGAATGCGCTTGCCTGGCGACCCGTCACCGCTATAGCAAACAGGTGGCACGACGCGTAGGTGCAGTGCGCTCCATTATGGATTTAAAGAGAGGATTAAACATAAGATAATGCGCAAATAAGTGTAGAATTGCAAGGTCTGTTTGCTTACGTGCATCAATTGGAGTGTAAACAGTGAGAGATGTTGTGGCAGGCGCGACGCTTCGGTGCTGCGCGCTCCATTGTTGATTTAAAGGGAGGAATAAAACATATGTTATGCGTGCGCCGTTATGCTTTTAAAGGGAGGAATAAAACATAACATATGTGGCAAATAAGTAAATAAATGTAGAAATGCACTGTCTGTTTGTTTATATGCATCAGTCAGAGTGTAAACAGTGAGAGATGAGGCAGGTGTGATGCTAAGTTGTGGCAGGCGTGACGCCTCGGTGCCATGGATATAAACGTGCCTGTCTCAGCTAAATATATCCTTCATGTCTGGCATTTTACATATGTAATTTTGTCGTTTCTAAATAAAATGAAGCGCAGTATGTCAATTATCACCATTAACCAGACTTACGGCCTGCCTCAAGATCTCACTGTTTACAGCTACCAGACATTTCTACTGATACACGAGAGCAAACAGACAGTGCAGCCGTTTACTTATTTATCTATTTATCATCCTTTCTTATATTTGATCCTGCTCTTTATGTCCATAACGGGGCGCGTCTGGTGTCACATACAGAGACTGTGCGCCTATTACTATGATTACGGTAATTTCAGAAACAGCAGAGATAGAACACGCTCTCAGAGCACTTAGGCCTATCTTTGAGTTGCCCAAAGATAGGCCTAAGTAATAATAAAAAAAAATAAATAAAAAAATGCTAAATAATAATAAAAGATATTGTCGCGGGGTGAATGAGAACACAGACTCGATACTGATCGAAAGAGCCCCGGAGGGTGATTTATTTGCCCACACACTGATCACACGTGCTCTGATGAATGGTGCTCGGTGCCCGTCTCAGCGTGGTGCTCGTGGGGTGAAGTGCCGTGGTGCAGATCCCTCTCCCAGGGTGCCTTCGGAGTCTGTGAACAAGGAGAAACAAGCATTAATGTCGCCTGGAGCTCCGGGGTGCCTTCCCGCTGGTGTCTCTTCTCCTGGCTTTTAAGGCCAGCGGGAACGAGCTCTAGGTGTGCCACTCATCGCTCACAGGTGTTGTGCGTCGGTGATCAGTGTGGCAGCGGCGTTTCCAGGGCGACGCTAATCTGGACTCGGGATACTCGCCACAATATATTATTTCAACACTGTTTTGTACTTCTACTTTATTATCCTTATTATTTATAAGTACGGTGTGTTTGACAGTGGTGTTACGTTGTATTTTTCTTTAAAGTACACATTTTAAGTCATTGTTTTATGTAAATGCGTTTATAGCATAATTATTTGCAAAAAGCACATAAATGAAGTAGGCTGCTTTTCTAAACACCTCTTTTTGCGGTTTAATTTCTTTTACTGAGTGGTATGATGGGTAGGCTACTCTTAAATGCATTTCTGTGGCAGGTGCCGCTGTTCCTGGCAGCTGTGACTGTCACGGACTTTCTGCGGCTGCTGTTTGTATAACTATGCATGAATAAAACTTTATATTTTTATATCTCTCAGGACTGTAATGTAATTTATGCCATGGACTTTCCACAGTTTGTATCAGCTACACCGCTAAAGGCAGCTACCAATTCGATATATGCGTGTGAACTAACCGACAGTGCAACCCTGGTCTCTTTCTAGTCTTTGGCACCTTAAACAATAAATAATTATTTATGCCAAATGCAGCAACTATCCCCTGCTACCAGCGGGATCCAAACGGTACGCAAAATAGGTCAATATTCACCAACCAAACGCTTTTCACCTGCCTTAAGATTTCTTACTGTTTACACTCCGATTGATGCACGAAGCAAACAGACAGTGCAATTCTACATTTGTTTAACTATTTGCCACCTAACTTATGCTTTATTCCTCCCTTTAAGTCTATAATGGCGCGTGCAGCACCGAAGCGTCGCGCCAGCCACAACTTAGTCACGCAGCCACAACATCTCTGATTAATGCATATAAACAGACAGTGCAATTCTACATTTATTTACATATTTGTTACCTTACCTTACCTTAGGTTTTATTCTTCTCTGTAAATCCATATAATGGCGCATGCAGCGTCGTGCCTGCCTCAACATCTCTCTGTTTACACTCCGGTTGATGCATAACAAACAGACAGTGCAATTCTACATTAATTTACATATTTGTTACCTTACCTTAGGTATTGTTCTCTGTTAATCCAAAATGGCGCATCCAGCACTGGAGCGTCGCGCCTGCCCGCCTCTCTCACTGTTTACACTCCGATTGATGCAAGCAAACAGACCAGAACAGGTGGCAGGTCAAGTGGCAGGCACACATAGTCATGGCAGGTCGAGTGGCAGGTGCACATAGCAGTGGCAGGGCAAGTGGCAGGCGCATTTGGCGGTGACAGGTCCGGTGGCAGGCGCACATATTGGTGGCAGGTCCGGTGGCAGGCGCATTTGGCGGTGGCAGGTCGAGTGGCAGCTACCCCTGCCACGCAAAGATTTTACCCTTACTGAATTAATTAGCATTTGCCTCAGGCTTAAATATGATCCACTTTCCAATCGGAGGAATTGTTAGCACGGTTGAATGATACGAGGATGCCGGAGAAGAAGTTTGGAAGTGACGCCGGTGCTCGGCGTCATAGAGAGCATGTGGCTGGTTGAGCAGAGAGCAGCGGCCGCGATGAAGCCTGGAGCTCGGCTGCAGTGTCTGGTGGAGAAGGAGCGATCTTGGGTCCGGCAGATTGGCCGGAGGATCCGAAAATATCCCCAGTATAGGTCTCGTCGTTTGGTCGGAAAAAATTGAGTCTGTGATGTAATGGCAAAAGGTGCAAACCGAATGCTGGAAAAACTGTCAAGGAGCAGAGGTAAGTCTGCTATGTATACAGTCATGGCCAAAAGTTTTGGCAGTGACATAAATTGTGTTTTGCAAAGTTTGCTGCTTCAGTATTTGTAGATTATTTTTTTCACGTTTCTATGGTATACTGAAAAACAATGATAAGCATATCATAAGTTTTAAAGGCTTTTATTGGCAAAAAAATATAATGAGTCAATATTTACAGTATTGACCCTTGTTCTTCATAACCTCTGCAATTCGCTCTGGCATGCTGGATGTTAGCTTCTGGGCCAAATCCTGACTGATGGCAATCCATTCTTGCCTTATTAGTTCTTGGAGTTGATCACAATTTGTGGACTTCTGCTTGTCCACTCGCCTTTTGAGGACTGACCACAGGTTCTCTATGGGATTGAGATCCGGGGAGTTGCCTGGCCACGGATCCAAAATGTCAATGTAATGATCTTCAAGCCACTTCTTTATCACTCTTGCTTCATGACATGGTGCTCCATCATGCTGGAAAATGCATGGATCATCACCAAATTGCTCATGGATCGTTGGAAGAAGTCGCTCTTGCAGGACGTTTTGATACCATTCTTGGATTGCAAGCTTTTTGCTGGCTACTGTTTTTGACTGGAATAAATCCATTGTTTCATGTATTCTTACGTTATTTTCCATATCAATTCTCGCATGTTTGGTTGTGAAACACAGTTTGTAGACACGTAGTTTGTCTGTGATTCTTCCTATTGAAAAGTTGTGTAATGTGTGATCCACTGTTGCTGATCCAGAGAGTCGTGCAGTGTGAGAAGAGCTGCGATGCGATGACTTTGAAAATCGTACAGTGTGAGCTCAGCATTACCTTGAAGTTTCTAGTCTGTCTGAAGACCTTGATTAGCTGGTTCAGGTGTGTTTAATAAAGGTTGGAGCTAAACTCTGCAGGACAGTGGCCCTAAAGGAACATGTTTGGATACCCCTGATATAGTGTATATAAATTATCATCAAATTAACACATTGGAACCTTGTAAACTGGCAAATACTTCCCCCTCAAAAGATTTCTGTCAGCCCAGTACTTTGTTTCTTAGGCTGAGTGATGAGCAACATGGACAATGTTTAGTGAACATTGGCTTAAATTACAGTCTGTTCCTCATATAATGCTATTGTATGGCTTCAGAAAGCTTGAGTTAAATTGACTACTTTTATTATACATTCATCATCATTTTCATAGATTTATAGCATCCATCCCCATTCACTCTCACGAGGAAAAAACTGCTAACCCTCTCCATTTGTGTTCAACTGATGAAAGTCAGTTTTGAAACAACATGGAGGTATATATGATGACAACTGGGTGAACTATTACTTAATTTAGTAAGCCTTCAGAATAATTGTATAAAAACAGTATATCCGTTTTCAGAATGTGCTACCCTCAGAAAGAAAACACATTAACTAATTTAGTCTGAAGAAGGTCTAAATAATGAACTTATTTAACAACACCGGTATCCAGTCCTGCTGCTTTATTAGTAAAGAGTACAGTAAAAATTGCACGTACTCTTGCATGCACCATATTTAAAAATTCATACATACACTTTGAAATCACTTACTGTATGTTCCCTGACTATTAAAACGTGGAGTGAGAAAGCACATTATGGGCTGAAAGCTTCCTGGTGCCTCTCAAGTTTAATTTCATGAAGCCTTTGTCTGTGACATGTTTATGTTAACACATAATCTAATGCTTTTAGAGAACGCCAGGTGTCTATGTATGGCCAAATCAGCCATTGTAGAGCTTTGGTGGGTATGGAATTGAATACAGCTTTCTATAAAATAACATTTAGGTTACACATTGTTGATGTTTTAACATGCATAAGATTAAAATAATATTGAGGTAATCACAAATCTGAGAACCTTTCTCAAAGCTCAACAATTATTAATTCTCGGAATCAGGTTTGTTTGGTCTCATGGTTATATTTATGAAAACTATTATCTCTCTGAAGACTGTGTGTAAGTTCTAGTAAAATGGTTAATCACTGAAAAAAAAAAAATGTTGTTTTGGATGCGTCTCAAAACGTCTTTCTCTCTGCCATCATGGGAGAAGAGTCTAATCTGGTTTATTTGAATGAGGCTAAATGTAGGTCAGAGAGACTGCTGCCAGTATTTGTTTATTTATTCTGAGAAAAGATTGAATTCTTATGACTTCATGTGGTGAGGTCTACTGTGCAGTGTTTCGGTGACCCAGAATTTTGACATAAATCATGTTGTAATTGCCAGAATCTGCATTATGTGGTTGTAGGGAGCATCTTCGGAAGCTGTCACCATTGCCAGACCACCACATTATCACATTTCACCAACGTTTACAGTACTATTAATATGAAATGTATAGTAATATTAATAAATGTTAAGTAATAAAAGTGCAGTTTGAAACATAGACACTTTAAAGATTCCATTAAAAGATGTTGTTTTTTTATATGCCTTTTAAGGTCAAGTTTTTGTAAATACATTATGCCCCAACAATAGATTAGTGTATATATACACCATTCAAAAGTCTGGTGTTCTTTCTAAGGCTGCATTTGTTTGATTAGAATTACAGTAAAACAGTAATATTATTACAATTTAAAATAACTGTTTTCTGTTTGAATATTTTTAAAATGTTATTTATTCCTGTGATGCCAAGCTGAATTTTCAACATCATTACTCCAGTCTTTAGTGTTATATGATCCTTCATTCTAATATTATGATTTGATGCTCAAGAAAAAATAAATGAAAATGTAATATTTCTTAATAATAAACTTAATAATGCTTAATATTTTTTTTGTGGAAATTGTAATGCATTTTTTAATACATAAAAGTATAACTGTCTTGTTTAATATATTTGAACCTGGTAAACTGGCAAATTCAGCGAGTACTTCTTCCAGTGAGATTTTCAAAGATGTATCAGCAAACTTGAATGGGCAGAATGACATTTTATGCATGATATTCCAGAAATAAGGCTTACAGCACCTTTAAAAAGCTAATATTGTCCTTGCCTTCCTACGGCTAAAGGTCACCTTGTGTTTGTAGCAACAGTTTGTCAACTATAATTAAGCCATTTGTAGGCTGACTCCCCCAAACACAGTGAGTTTGTGGCATTATATAAACATTGTTCATTTAGCAATTCCGTTTGGTGCTGCTAGAAATCTTGTAGAAATCATAAACTCCTCCTTTAATTAATTACAACTTGATTATTAAAAAATCACTGTGGTTGGCTCTAAAATTCAGTCATAAAATTTTTGTTAATATTAAAAACATTGTACGTCACTTTGGTCAATGGTGATTTGCATGTCAAGCACACGTTTTCATAAACACATTATTACAGGACATTAATGCTAGGAACCAAATTTCCGCCCAGATGACTCACGATTTTATGGCATGAGAGCGTTATATGCTCAGCTAATATAATTAATTTTTAATTCCTTCCTGGTTCAATTTGTAGAAGCAGCCAGGACACATTAAAAAGAATCACAAAAATCATGTAAATATCATACATGTATAATTGATGTTCTGGAAGTATGCTTATATTGAACATGTGACAATATCAACATTCTAGCATTAAATATATTAAGTAATTAAGCTGTGAAAAAAGGCCAAAAGGACATATATGGGCTATCACACTGATATGAAATGCACTGTCAGGTGTATATGACCATCCTTTGAACAAATATTGTAATGTGATACTCTTTATAATAAAGATGGAAAATTTATATCTGCAAGATATTGTTTTTTGAAGTAATGGTACATTAGAAGTTGAATCAGGTGTTTAATTAGGCAGATAAAGGAGTTGGACAAAATAAAGTGAACACCTGTGAAATAGGCAATATTTCTTTATTAAAAAGGGGTCATATGATGCTTTTTTAAAGATCATTATTTTGTGTATTTGGTGTAACAGAATATGTTGACATGCTTTAATGTTCAAAAAACACATTCTTTTTCAAATACTGTACATTATTGTAGGTCCTCTATGCCCCGCCTCTGTCAAACGCTTCGTTTTCTACAAAGTCCCTCCTTCCGACAAGCACAGTCTGCTCTGATTGGCCAGCTGACCCAGTGCATTGTGATTGGCCGAACACCGCAAGCACTCGTCGGAAATGTAACGCCCCTTACCATAATCGCGAGCTTCATCTTTCAAAATAAATGTAAAGACAGAGCCCGAAAGGGGAACAGAGTCACGTGACAGACACAGTGATGAAGCTGGTATGTGTTTGCAGTACACAAGCCACGGTTAAGACAGCTGACTCCACTGTGATGTGACCCCCTCTCTCTCTCTCTCTCTCTCGCTCTCTCTCGCTCTCTCTCCCCCTCTCTCTTTCTCTCTCGCTCTCTCTCTCGCGCTCTCTCTCGCTCTCTCTCGCTCTCTCTCTCTTTCGCTCGCTCGCTCGCGCACACACACACACACGATGCGCAATCTTATCTATGCACAATCAGCTTGTAACACTCCAAAGAGAAAGGAAAACTTGAAATCGCATCATATGACCCCTTTAAAGTGTTTTATCACCATTTGCCTTTCCAACCTTCCAACCGTCTTTATTCATCTTGATTCATACAACAAATTTTCCAGTGGACTGCTGTCTATCAAAACATCTGCCCGTCGCTTCAGATATGTAGGAGGGAATCAGTTTCTCACACTTTTCCCCAAAACTGTCCAGATTGGTTTGATAATATTCAAGTCAGGTGATTTGTTTGTACCAAGTTCATATTGGTGCTCCAACTGCCAGGTTTTATTGTCATATATTATTATCATAATTTTTGCATTTTGGCATTGGTGTCTGTCATTAAAGTTGTA